AACCTCAATTGGTATCCAATAAGCTCTATTAGCCACCATATCCAAGTATGGGGTGTTACAATGTTTGTGTAATTCTTAAATTTTTTTCAGCTTTCTGCTTCAAGGTCGACTATAGACACACTAGGATTGATTATGACTATGCAATCTTTAAGATTTCCACTCATTTTGCCTTTGGATCGACTTGAGCTTTTCTAGAATTGACTCTTGATTTGTGTCTTGAAGATTTCTTTACTTTTTGGCACCTCTCTTTAGCTATTTCTTCCTTGCCTTTTTCCTATAATCAAATAATAATTGAAGACATGTGTGGTCTTTATTTACTTAGCTAAATACACATTGTTTGAAAGTTTTTATGATATTTTCTAATGATACATGGCTTTTCAAACAATTTTTGTGACTTTAAAGGATGAAAAATATGATTGAGATAATTTCAAATGCTTAACATTAAAGTTAAGATATTGTACAATTTTTGTCAAATGATTTTGAAAGTTTTTGTGTTATTTTCTAATGATGCATGGCTTTTCAAATAATCTTGTGACTTTAAGGGATGAAAAATATGATTGAGACAATTTCAAATGCTTAACATTAAAGTTAAGATATCGTGCAATTTTTATCAAATCAAAACATAATGTAACTCAAGGCTAACAATGATAAAGTCAATCTATTTTAAAAACTACTCCTTGTATCTTGCTCCCCTTCTCTTTGCTTATTATGTTTTATACTTACATTTTTAAAATTCATGTTTTAGTTCTTAGATTTGCAATTAGGTAGATCCTTGAGAATGATGAAGTCTTTCCCATTCTTTCGGTACGTATTGGTGAAAGACATCCGGTAAGTGTTACCCTTGTTTCTTGTCCACTCTATTGTTGTGTCTTCTTTTATTTTGAATATGTTCTATGGAAATACATTTTGTAAGTTAGCCAAGGTTGGCTTGTTTGTATTACAACGTATTGTGAACATCCACATGATGAATGACTTGAGCACAATGACTGTGTATTGATTGTTCAAGTTGAGACATGAAGCACATGTAATGAAATACATATTTATGTCTACTTTGAGATGAACTCCCTTATTGCATTGTCAATTGTTATATCATGTCAACAATGTGTATAAGGCTTGCTTGCATCAAATGGGCTTGCCTATTTAGGCCCTTACATCGATCATCACTCAGGATTGGATTATGAAATCATAACTTTATGGCTCTAATGACTAACTTACCATGTTAATTAATTAGCCTTTTTATCTTTAGCCTTACTACTTTTTATTTTGAATCTACCATCTTCAAGGTTAAGCATAATATAAGGATAAACCACCTAAGCACTTAAGCACACATATTAGACTAAAATGATAATGTTTTGTTATCATGAAAAATAATATGGAGTCAAAACAATATGGATAAAAAATGAAATTAATATCATGAGGTGTCATTTAGAAATAATGTCATGGTAATGTATTGAAGTATGTGGTGTAGTCATAAAGGCAGCTTTGTTATTATGCCATTGTAGTTCAAGAATTTTCATCATTTATATCATGTAGCTTTTAGGGACATTTTCATCGTTTATGTTATATAGTTTTAGCGACTTTGTCATCAAGTTGTATGTCACATAGAATTGAAATGTTATTAAAACCTTCAAGGATCTTTCATTTATGTAAATATTGCCTTTTTACTTCCTTTTATGTTATGTTTTATTTTTTATATTCAATTTAATTGCAACATACTAATGATCAATAACCCATCCAAGATTCCCAACCCACCTACATCTCTTAAGATGCATGCATGACAGAATAGAAGAGAACTGTTCATAAGTGCATGAGTTAGTAAGTAAAAAAGAGGTGTACTTTTGATTTAAAGCTCTAATCTAATTGATCCAAAGTAGAATAAAACACTAAATTTATCTTAGGGTGGATAGGAAGTTTGATTCCTTATTTATTTTGTACTAAACTCTTTGAACTAAATTCTTTAGTAATGATGAAACTTTTGCCTTTATATACTTACCTAAATAGCTTTCAATTTTGACATAAACTTTTGATGGCTACCCAAAATCATGTTTAAATGGCATTATTCCAAATCTAATTAAAGTCTGAATTTGTAAGAGTTAAAGGTGACACTTGTGCTACTTATATAGAAAGGATCAATATTTGATTGTATATAGTTTTATACATTGTCAGCTCTTTAAATGCCGCTATTTCATTAATGTGGTAAAATTAAAAATCTTAAAGACTTAAACTTAAATATTAAAAAGTTTTTAATAATTAGTTAAATAAAAAATAAAAAAATTCTTTCTTTCTCTTCGTAACTTCCTCACAATGTTCCTTCATTGTTCCCTTCTTCTTTATCGCTCTCTAGCTCTATTATCTTCTTCTCCCCATCCTTTTCTTCTTTTTCTTCCATTAAAATCAAATTTGGCAAAATTGTTCAACTTCAAGAGATTTCAAGATAATTTTTATAATTTTTACTTATTGACTTTGGTGATATATTTTTTAAGTGATTTTACAATTGATTTAGGGTCATAATGTGATAATCAATTGTTCTTTTTCTCAAATAAATAAATTAGGGTTTTATTTTTAGTTTGACTTATGGTTATAACATGATACCATTAAAGGCAAATGATAAAAATGGTAAAAGTATTTAACTAACATCAACTTAATATCAAATTAAAATTCTAATAGAAATTGTGACAATTTTTTCAAAATTTTTCCAACACTGATTTTATCCCACAATCACAACTTAAGAAAAGATTCTTTATCACAATTGGTGGTCAAATTAGCCAGTTGCCCACCCTATTTGGTTTTAATGCTAACCAACAAAAGAATTACAGCCTTGTAGAACAACAAAGCATTTTGATTCAAGAGTACTTTTTCTCTCTTTTTTTCTCAACAAAAAGAAAATTTCCATATCAAATTCTTCTCTTAGGGTTTCAATAGACTCTTTCTTAAGAATTCAATAAGATTTTAGTTTAGATGTCTACGGAAGAATAAGAAAAGAAGGCAAAAGAGGTTTTGGGAAAAAGTGAAATCTTTTAATTTTTAATTTTAATAGAAGAAGAAGAAAAGGAGGTGAAGATGGTGTTAAAGAGATAAAAAGCAATAATCAAATGTTGTGAAGGCGTTGGAGAGAGAAAAAAAAAGAGATTTTTCTAGTTAATTTATTATTAACAATTTTTTAATAGTTAATATAATAATAATATTTAAGGGGATATAGGATAGAATAAAAAAGCAACTTTGTAATATTTAAGTTTAAGTCTTTAGAGACTTTTAGTTTTACCTGATTAATGAGGTAGCAACATTTGGTGAGCTGACAATGTATAGCTTTTATACAATATTAGTGTATCAATTATAAATTCATATAAGAAACCTGAGAAAGCTATACAGATAAAAATAAATAAATTCAAATATAAATTTTTTATGAAATAATAAATCAAATATGAAAATATTAAAAAAATAGTTCTTAATTAAGCTCAAATTTTGAATATAAAGTTGAGAAAGCATTTTAATTTTTGTTAATAAATTATTTTTAATGCATTTGTAGCCATTGAAATCTATATTATATATAAAAAGAAGCTACAGCGGGCTTCCAGTTGTGTCAATGTTTCTGACCTCTCTTATTGACACATGGCCCATTTTTAAGGGATTTTGGGGATGTTTTTGGTGGGTTTGGTTTCATTTAGAGTTGCGGGCAAGGGATTTTTTCTTTGAGCATCAGAAGTCAGAAAAGGTACGATGGT